TGTAAGGATAAAATCTAATTCAAACGGTATTCTTATTTATAGGTTTCAAAACAATAGAATAGACTTCTCATCAACCTTTGGTTTATTAAAAGAATCAAATTAAATATTAAAAACTCTCTCGGACTAAGCAATATATTACTTATGAAACTGTCAATGAGATTTTTAGTAATTGAACCTAAATAAAAGGTCATCCAACAATCCACAATAGCTAATACGTTGGATACACTTATCACTACATATTGAGACATAGAAAAGAGCATTGTTGAATTCTTACGTCAAAACTTGTATAATTGTTTAGTTATTTATTAAACATGGTCACCCATTTCAGTAGAGGATTAGCGACGCTTACGTAGCGTTACTTGTATTTAAGAGAGAATAAAAATCGAGGTTATCGAAAGTTTGATGAAGAAGTAGTGCTCATCCGATGGATTCGCTGAGCTTTTTCTGAAAGATAACATCGCGGGTGTGTGGGTGTGGGTGTCAGTGACGAGAAGAACTGCACATAAGCTCAGCCGCACCGTTTATGCATACAAAGACAAAAATATTTATATATGCTTATATAATTTCGATTTCTCCTAATGTTGGGAGCAATAATTGACATCTTTGTTGTGAAATATATACATTTCTCTTCGAAAAGAAGTATTTGTACCATCGTGACAGAGAAAAACTGATGTAAACATACTTTAACTCGCTTAAAAGTATTGAAGAAACTTTTTCTCTGACTCGGTAGCGCAAATACTTCTTTTCGAATAGAAATATATATATATATATTTAAAGGAGAAAGTCTTCAGCTAGTGTAGTCCTCACTATGAATAATCGAAAAATTGCGTAAACATATATGAATCAGTTTGATTTGTTTTATACATAGGTAAACACAATTTTCGCCGACTCCGACTTCACCGAAACAATGGTTCGCCGAAAAATAGCGAATCAAATATGATCCATTCTTGATATAGAATTTTATCCTAACAAACTAGCCTACGAGTGAATCGATTAATTAACCGCATCTGGTAGATTAACCATCTGACTTGGCAACGCAGTCAGTTTAATATGCAACTTGTTTGAAAAAGTAGCATTGAAATTCAAGTTTTGATTTTGTACTGCAAATCAAATTGAATTTCTATTCAACAGAAAATCGAACTATGCATAATAAAAGTTTCAAAATTATACTGCGTATTAAGTCTATTTTCTACAAAATAAATTTTATTTTAAATTTACAATGTATACCAGGAAACGGCGGTTACAGCTCTGTTAGATTTTTTCCTAAATTGCTGTTGCTGTAACGACTATAATGGGACTAACTATGGGTGAGAGTGCAGTTTTAAGATACATTATTTTGGATGTGGGTGCAAGTGCGATTGCAGGATGTCCGATGAAGGTATGAGTGATGTGACTATGTTGAGTGTTTTCGAACTACACCCCATCTTGAGATGCTAATCGTAGAAACAATAGTAGTATGAATGCAAGTGTATAAGGAAATCTTTCATCTTCTTGAAATATTTTCAATATGTAGTGCTAATATGCACTTAAATGATCGCAAGCCAAGAAGTATAGACCGGTTCCCGTAGTATTTGAAGGCCGGAACAATTGAACTGGAATAGGATGTTATTAATAATCAAAATCGAATTATTCAGCGACGAAAGAGGCGGATGCTCTTTCATTATTATTATTATTATTATTATATAAGCAATACTGCATAATATCATTAAATATATATATATATATTGCTTTTCATTGAGATCTCCTTTCTGTTTATTTAACTCCATAAAATCTAGAATATATATTGTTTCTATCGATATTGTATGCAAATTGTGATTATTCTATGTTACAAGAATGATGTTCAATGCCCATCAAAATATTTTATTGTGAAAGCAGAAGTCAAAAGGATAACTAAAATGAACATTAATTTTCTACAATACTAATGATTTAAAACAATAGAAATCATTTTTTCTCCTAATACAGATTTTCTTTTAATTGTTTGCCGTAATGTTAAATCAAGTTCAAAATTAATCAGAGACTTGACTGTGCCAAGTTTAGAGAAATTTCAGAGGGTGTGAATGAAATGAAGTTACTGACACACCTTCATGTCCATAATGAGAGCTCCATGTGAATAACTCTATTCTCTTGTAAATCTTTCGAGACACGTATACGCACATTTGCATGATATTGGTGTCGATAAATTTGTAATTCTTTCGTTTGTGCATTGATCAAACGAGAGAGCCATGGGCTGCCTATCACCGACATCTTACTTAAAACATGATTGGATTGGTTGATGACAAGCCTTTGAGAAGAAATATTTCGATGACTAAAGATAAAAGTAACGTCAATGTCAACTAACTACGTTTCATTTAAGACCGTCAAATGGTGTATTATGGTAATTTTATTGTCCTAAGATTTCTTTGATAATTTATAGATTTTTTCATTAAATTTTTAGTCTTCATTTTTAAAAGATTTACCTTGTCGCAATCCAGATAGCTTTACTCGTCTACATTCGAACGGCGCTATTCGTCAAACAGTAAGAATAGGAGACTATTGTAATTACCATATTATGTGAAAGCCTAATTTTTTGTTCATAGTCTGTTCGACCAACATATACAGCAGCGGTTGATTCAAATGCAAAAGGTATAATAACTACTAGATGGTATTCGAGTTTCACTCGACTACGAAATGCGGTGCGAAGCACACGAGCCGAGTTTTCGAAAGTAGCGAGAATAAGATTTAAAAATAAATGATTCACTTTAAGATTCATTACAAACGTTTATTTTTTTTTAATTTCCGTATCCGAATTTTGAATAAAAATTTCGCATTCACTATTCTTAAATCGACCATTTTGAAATTCATCACTAGGAAATCTCTCTGAAAATGTAACAACCAGTTGTCTAACAATTTTTTTCATTGAACGATTAATTATTTTAATGATTCACTATCTTAGATCAGATGCGAAGAAATAGACTATTGGCTACTATTACTTGATGACGTCATTTTAATTAGCGCGAAACTATAAAACAATAAAACGTTTCAAAATCATCATTGTCGAATGATATTTTTAGGCGAACGAAACCTAGTATTGAAAATTGGAAAAAAAGATGTAACAAGTTCGATCTCCATACTTTCATATCTAGTTTGAATGGATTTTCTAGCATTGATGGTTCTTTAGATCATCGCGTCACTTAATAAGAACTTTTTATGCGTACTCAAGTTAGAAAGAAACAAAAAAATTCGGACAAAATCTGTATGATATAGAGATTTTAATGTTACTAACACCGTTTCAACGAGCATCAGACGAATTTCAGTTCTTGAGATCATCGCGCCACAAGAACACTGAATTTGGATGCGTACGCGACGAACTACAGAAATGCTTCTGCTTCGCATCGCATTAAAAAATAAAAAATAAAAACTCGCGGCGGACTACATAAATGCTTCTGCTTCGCACCGCATTAATTAGTAAATTATATGCAACAGAAGTATTTAAAAAACATATATATCTTGTGTTCATATTTCAATTTGTAGATATAATTTAACCTTGATAAAAGTCTCGAAGCAATATATTGTCTATTGCTATCCATAAAAAAACATAATTTCCACTATTATCAGCTTCTCTAGAGATGTATACAATTGGATCTTAATAAGCTATCGACTCAGTGTATAGTGGAGCGTTACAAGAAAGGATGTAGATCGTTAAGTAAAATTTTCATTAAAAAGTCTAATCATTCATAAGAGACTGTAAAAAAATGATGTGAATTTATTTGATATCCTGTCGTCAGTAACAATAAGCATTGTATGATTGACGTTAATATTTTATAATTCAATTTTCGAATCGAACGATGAAGTTTAAGGAGTAGTTTTCTTGTAATGGAATTTTTGATGCATCAACTGGTCAAAGAACAAAATCTTTACATAGATTCTGATTCATATAATCAAGCTTGAATTCTTTCTTTTTTCTTTTCCAATAGAAATAATCAATGATCCAGTTCCAATGTTGATCCATCGTTTATCTCGTTTACCAGTAAGTAATGAATTCAGTGAGATCATCTCTCAATTATCTACTTCAGAAAGATGAATCACGCAAACGACCAATACCTGAAGATGAAAGTCAAGTACCATCGTTTACAATAGATCAATCAAAACGAGCGAAACAAACATCAACGGATTCCTCCAATCAACAGCAACCAAATACACATGATTACAATGAAGATATTTCATAAAGGGCAGGAAAAAGCAAAAAAAAATTTTTTTTCTACATGTTTTATTTCCTTAAAAAAAGAAAGATTCACCGGAATAAAATGTTCTGTTTTTGTTTTTGTCTATCACTACAAACTATTTCGTTTGTTGTGTTGTTTTTGAATTTTTACAAGTTATTATTGGTATTGTTTCACGTAAATTATAACTTTGAGTTATTGGCACACGTGGATGTTCGATCATTTGATACCAATGATCACGATTTATGCCATCGAAATGAACACCAATACCAATACAGCCAATCAATTCATTTGAACCAACACGATCATAATCAATAACTTTAAATATAAGATCAGTATTTTCACGATCTTCATCGGATAAATCAAATTCTAAACTTTCATTGTATATTGGATTAAGTGTATTACATAAAACGGATGTTTTTTTCTTTCGAATGTTTTTTCCATTGATCAATAAAATAACTTTTACATATGGATCTGATTTGCCAGTTATATCCATAGGTTTCAATGAATTCGCTTTAACAATGGTTACCGTAACACGTTTAGCATTCGGTAGACAACATAGCGATACAGTTAATTCACCTAAATCAGGATCACTCTAAAATAATAGATGAATCGGATAGAAATATTAAAAAGAAAAAAATCAATGATCATGAATCTATCTAGAAAAATGATTTTTTCTTATTTACGATAAGAAGATTAAATGTCGCCTCATCGATAAGCTGACATTTTAATTGAGTTGACATAGTCAATGAAATAATGTGCGTATTAAATGGCATTCAAATTCATATCCTTTTTGGTTTTTAATGAGTAAAATAGTTAAACAGAATGATAAAAGATGAACAATATCATATTTTTGATCTAGTTAAACATGTAATTATTTTCATTATTCATAAATTGAAAGGGTTGCAACTTATAAACATGCGACATTGACGAGCTCTTTTTCCAACGTTAGCATTTGACATAAACTTAACTTAATAATCCAACGAAAAATTTTTTCTCCTCAAATCTATTAGTAGCACGCTAATCAGGGCTGGAACCGGGCCGGTAAATACCGGAAAATCGCCGGTTGAAATTTTAAAATAACTATCTTCATTTAGCTCTGTTTTGTTAAAAAGATGTTTTATCAGTATATATATATACATTTATTTATATATAAAAAGCCCTATAAATCTGTTGATGCTGCAAATTTTTTGTGGAATTCAGAAGAAATCTTGATTATAATCATAAACACCAGTAATAAATCTCATTTTCTTTCATAGTAAAGAGAAATCAACGGAAGTGCGACAGTTGATCAATTTGGTTGGTCAATGCATTATCAACAGTGATTTTTTTTTCTGTCGTGTTTTATTTCTTTCTCGTCCGTCTTTGCCGGAATTTCACCGGTTCGAGAATAATTTATGTTCGGCCGGTTTACCGGTCGGACCGAACCGGTAAATGTTTTTAACCGGTCGGACAGGACCGGTTTATAAACATCTTACCGGTTCCAGCCCTGACGCTTATTGAGTTCGCCTATAAAGTTTCCACATGTTAGTCTACTTCATCAACTTTCATGATAATGTTTGATCGTCGATTTCTACAAAAGTCACCAGCAGTCATTCTATATTTAATAACCTTCGTGCCTGACACCTCGGTTAAGAGTACAAAACCTGTAACGAAATATATATCTTTGTTGTTTACGTTAGCATGTTGGCTCTTACTCTCTCTCTCTCTCTCTCTCTATATATATATATATATATATATATTGCATGATTCCTTATTTGACGCTCGTCTGTTTAATTAGTAACGCTGTCGAGCTTTAAGCGAAGCTGAATTAAATCCCTCGTATTGTCTTTTTTACTCAAATTTCTTACGTTTGAAAACTATTACAAAAGATACTCGAAGTAAATCTGAATCTAGAACTAATTGGTTAGCTCCTAACTGTTTACAGAATATAAACACTACGGCCAATTGAATGGTTGATTATTATTTTTAAATATATTATCTATAGAACAAGTAAGAAAGTTGACAACATAAAAGCTATACCGGAAAACAAAGGAAAATTAATTTTTCTATTATGCTCTATTTTCATCTAGACTTTAAGAAGTTAAAAATATTATTTTATCGTTTGAATAGGTTATAATTTGCATACATTCTACAAATGTTAAAACACATTAAGAATTTCTTTTATTCCAAAAACAATATGACGTCAAGAATATCGGCAACACAGCGCATTTTACAGATAAATTTCAGATAGAATCGACGATATTAAATAAATAATTTTTAATTAAATTCTTGTCAATTATCGATAGATAAAAATAGCTTTCACTTGATTTTATTATCTTTCAGGATAGAGCCGTGCATAAATTTATGTTAACAGAGATACAAAATGAGAAGGAAATCCGTTTATCTTCAAGAACAATGTCGGAAACAAAAAGAAGCCCATCATTATCGCTACAGAATAACTGTTAATATTATGCGTTATTCAAAACGTATACATGTATCTTATAAGCCGCAACACATTCCAAATATGTAATATATTTGAAACAAATGAACTATGCTAATAAAGTCACAAAAGAAGAAAACAATGGGACATGTGTTGTTCATTCAAGTTAATCTTTTTCTAGGTTTTAATATCTAGGTAGAATTGTAATGCACCGGTAGTTTGTTTGCTTTTTTCTGTCTATGAATACTATAAGACTGAAATTTAGTAAATTGCAGTTCTGCCAATCAATCGTGGGAAAATGTGAAAATGACATATGGTTAAGTTCTGTTCATAATATGTGATTTTTATGTGAATACAATTGACTAATAACAAAGGGATATTTTTATTTTTTTCGGCGCATGTATTCTATTGTTTATATTTTCTGTATGAGGTTTTTCATTGGCGTGCTCGATGACCATTGCATGTCACATTAGTATGTCTGCCAAGCATATTTTCTATCGAATATACATCGTTTCAGTGATTTTGTCTCGTTAGAAAGAGAGCAGATATGATTAGAAAACAAATTAAATATTCAATACTTCTTTTGTTGATTTCTAGTATAAAATTTAGTCGACGTTCACAATCATGTCGACTCAAAAATGAAATGATTGATGGGAAATGACATAAACTGCAAATTTTCATTTGTACTTCTTTCTATCTAACTAAAACAAAATAGAAAGGATAGACATCGCTTCAAAGACTCGTATATTTCATGCAATGTTTTTTTTCTAAATTGTTTACTATGCTTAAACTAATTTTGTTAGCTGAGAACAGAAAAGAAAGAATTGAACATTTACTATATAACACAGACTACATAACTTCCGCTGTGGTCTCGCTTTTTTTTATGCCACCGAGGTTCGGTCGGAGAATTTATTACAATTTAATTAATGGGTTAAATATAAAAGGAAAATTAGCAATTTTATTTCGAAAATAAAAAAGCAAACGAGAATAACTCGATTATTGATCGGTAAACGTGTGTCGAAAAGGGTATCTTTATTTGCGTAGTTTTATCTTTAGAATCAGGTAAGGTGGCAAGTCAAATAACTCATCGCTCGTTGTTTTTCTGTGTAATAAATAGTGTGGAACGTCGGAAATAGAATCTCGGAATTCTCATCTTCCTCGCCGGAACAAGTGTTAATGTTTTAGACAGATGATTTGTCTGAAAAAATGAAAGAAAAACGGAAAGAAAGGGAGAAACTCGTTAGAAAACAAAAGAACTTGTTCTATTTATATTAAGCACTTTATGACGTTGAATACTTCAAGGTCTTTTATGTTGTGTTTTGAACAAAAATAAAATAAAAGAATCGGAATAGATAACGCGTTTGCTGCATTTTCTTTAGCTAAATGTGTAGTTTTGTCTTTTATACTAAAAAAAAACGCTCACCTCTGTACCGGGTACAATATGCTTTGTAAATGTATGGCTATTGGCAGAAATATCAAGTTTCGAACAAATATCATCCATTCGAACTGTACCAATTAGATTTCTTTTTGATGAACGTCGAAAATCATAGACAGCGTATAGTAAAGTTCGTTTACATAATTGTTCATAGGTTATTTGAAATTCAAATGTTTCATTGAATTCAACTGATTGTAAATGTTTATAAACTTTTGTTTGATATTTTTTTCGACGATCCGGCAGTAAAGTTAATTTAATAAACGGATTTGGTAAAGATTTTGAATGCGAATCTCGACACGGTAAATTGTCAATAGATAGAATTGTTATTATTAATGATGTTAAAGTTTGATTATAGAAAAGTGTAAATGTTATTTGACCTGAATCATAGGATGGATCATTGGGTTGGATGGGTTTTTTATATAGATTGGGTTCTAATTTACCAAGATTGTCATGTATATAACGGATAGATTTAACTCCATTAAGGCCTGGAATTTCAATGGATTCCATATGACGTATTGAACGTCGAATGGGAAATGTCGATGTTGTATCTGTTGATTGTCGGATAAGTGAACGTGATCGATGGATATATTGTTTTCTGATTTTATCATCATCTTCATCTTTCTGATTACTACCAATAGCTAATAAATTTCGAACATCAATCGGTGGATTATCGTGATAGATTGGTAATGAACTGCTTTGTTCATCAGTTTTATTTGACTCGGATACATGTCGTTTTAAAATTGATTGGCGATGTGTAAAACGATTTTGAAAAAAATTGAAATTCGACACGGGACTTTGTGTATTTGTTGAATTTGGTTGAGAGACAGATAATTGATTATTACTAGAATTTGATGATAGTGACGAACTTGATTGAGATTCTGATGCGAATAAATTACATGAAATGTCATTGTTTGGGGAAATTACAGACGAATCTCGTTCATTAATATTCATGGATGTTAAGGACCCTTTCACCTTATCTACTGTTTGTCGAACTCTATCCATAATAATGGTACTTGGTGTCGTTAATTTTTCCATTTGATTTTCGAAAAATGAACGTAAATTGAATATATCACTCATTGAGAATCGACGAGTCCAAAATCTACAACAAAATAAAAATTTTATAGGAACACTATTCGACGCGCACAACCTAGCAAATAAACACTTCACAAGCTTTCTTGCGTGCATGTCTAGTTTGTTTTAATCATTCTGATGTCAAAGCGACAGAAGTTAAAAAGATGCAGACAGATTAATCTCAACCACTCACACAAATTCCAGACCATTAATTGGCATTAATAGAACAGTGCATTAAGAGAAAAATGGTTAAATTACATTTCTCGTTTTGTTATTCTCATTGATGGTTCTGAATGAAAAAACATGAATAATCATTTTTGATTCACATGTATTCCCAAAAAAGAGAAAAGAAGCACAAAAAAAAATGTAAAGTCTATATTGAAGGAAACGGCAGATATTCCATTGCACGATTGTACGTCTGGATCATGTTTGTTCAAAAGGAAATCTATTGTTTGCTTTTGTCCTTTTAATTAGAGTCAGATAGGGTAGATGTAAAACGACAATCGAAAACACTTTTTATTTCTCTGGTCTCTTCTTTATCATCAATTATTTAGAAATATTTTTTCTTGGAGAAATGTAGAACAAATTCTTTTCTATCGTTCAGTCAGAGGATTTCTGAAAAATATGGCACCACGAGTTAGTGATGATAAATTTCCTGAGAGCCCCAACAGAATTATATATTTACCGCGTTTGAGATACAATTGTAATCTTGCTGATGTCAGGTGGGCAAATGTATAATCTCAGTCATATTATCTACTATCAGTAAAACCCAAATATTTCCAAAATAGTAAAAAATTTATGAATAACTTTTTATGAAAAATATCCGCCCTAAAAAGTTCCACAAGGCTCAAGTATTTCGGGACACAATTTTTGATACTATGTAGATTTCGTTTAGAAAGATGAGTTAACGTAGAAAAAAAAGTCATGTTTAGGAAAGATCATTGTTCAAAACTAGCAACATATTCTGAATCAGCATGAAATNTCAGTAAAACCCAAATATTTCCAAAATAGTAAAAAATTTATGAATAACTTTTTATGAAAAATATCCGCCCTAAAAAGTTCCACAAGGCTCAAGTATTTCGGGACACAATTTTTGATACTATGTAGATTTCGTTTAGAAAGATGAGTTAACGTAGAAAAAAAAGTCATGTTTAGGAAAGATCATTGTTCAAAACTAGCAACATATTCTGAATCAGCATGAAATTCTGAATAAAATGATGCATTCATTCTGTTGGAAAACAACTTTCATTTTTTTGACATGTCTTTTGCGCCTGTAGGGAACCCCAAGATTGGCAAAAATAATTCTTTTTCATTTTTCTACCGACTTTTACATCATTCGATGCAGAATTTTATGCTGATTTGCAATATTAAACTATAATTCAAAGCTAACCAATTATTTGGGTGAGAAGAATCTATTTTATCTTAGAGAACAAAAACATTGTCATGCGCCTATGATCAGATGGCAAAATAATATTGCAGAAAAGTAGAAACTATTCAACACACGTATAGTACCGTATTTTGCATCAAAAAGATGTGAAAACAGCAGTTTGGAACTGAACAATAATGTCAACTTGAGCTCTTTACGTATTATAATCAGTTGTAATCTATGTTTATAAAACTGAATTTCTCACCGTTAATCGTACTCTGTATCTCTTATCGAAGTACGAGGTCATCTTCCGAGTCAGCATAAAATTCTGCATCGAATGATGTAAAATTCGGTAGAAAAATGAAAGAGAATTATTTTTGTCAATCCTGGGGTGCCCTACAGGCGCAAAAGATATGTCAAAAAAATGAAAATTGTTTTCCAACAGAATGAATGCATCACTTTATTCAGAATTTCATGCTGATTCAGAATATGTCGCTAGTTTTGAACAAGGATCTTTCCCGAACATGACTTTTTTTCTACGTTAACTCATCTTTCTAAACGAAATCTACATAGTATCAAAAATTGTATCCCGAAAGACTTGAACCTTGTGGAACTTTTTAAGGCCGATGTTTTTCATAAAAAAATATTCATAAATTTTTTACCATTTTGGAAATATTTGGGTTTTACTGATAGTAGATAATATGACTGAGATTATACATTTACACACCTGGCGTCAGCAAGATTACAATTGTATCTCAAACGCGGTAAATATATAGTTCTGTTGGGGCTCTCAAGAAATTTATCATCACTAACTCGTGATGCCATATTTTTTTAAAATCTTTTGGCTCGTCGATAGAAAAGAATTTTTTCTATATTTCTCTAAGAGAAAATATTTCTAAATAATTGATGATAAAAAAGAGACAAGAGAAATAAAAAGCATCTTCGATTTTCCTTTTATATTTACCCGATCTGACTCTATTATTTGTTTATGTTCCTGTCTTTTCTTTTTCTTTTTCTTTTTTTGCTTCTTATATTTTCTCTAGTCTTTTTTCCTTTGTCTATTCTTTAGCTATTTTAGCGTTACATTTTCCTATGGAATCGGCAACAAAAAAAACATTTGATGAGAGTCTACGAGAAAAATGTTTAACGATGAATGAATAGTTTTTTTGGAAATCGATCGTTAAAAATAATTCAATTAATCGTTTAACATGAATAATTGATATTATTGCATAATAATTAAATATATTTTAATTAAATAAAAGAAAAAGATAACTTCAAGAACGAGTATGGTTATGTGTTGAAAGAAGAAAAATTCTATTTTCCTGTTAATCTTGTTTGTCAGTTTATATTAAAAGACAGAAATGTCATTTTTCAAGTGTTTTCGAAAATCTGACTTAAGTCTTAAATTATTGAAACTATGAAAAAAAGCATGTTAGCGCAGCCTCTTTGGGGCTAAAATATGGAACTTACACATATCCCTTCGGCTTACTAAAATAATTCAAAATAGTTCATCTGAAAAATCTACCCTGATTTCCAAAACCTATAATTAGGTCGTTGCCTATTTGCTTATGTCTGTAATGGAGTATTAAGTGTTAGCTCGTGTATTTAACAATGGCAGAGACTAGTTTCTCTGGTTTGCAATGGTACTCTAAGCTAGTTACTATGCTCTGCAATGGGTAAGCATTGGTTTTTGCTTGTAGTCTGTAATTAAAAAAGGAAGAAATAGCAGACTAATTAGTCAAGCTCTTAATTAGCACAATTTTAAACTCATTAATGTCTGTAATGGGGAGAGAGATGGGTGGGAGCCGCAAAAATCTCGCTTTTAAAGTTACACTCACCATTTTCTTTGAAAATATATGTGAGTGCCACAAAATCCATTCAAATGATTAATAAAACCTGACGTTTATCAAAGAGAACAAAAATAAAACAGGCCAAACTAAAGGAGTCTATTATAATATATGATGCTATGTTCTACTCATTGCATTGTATGTCAAAATAATTTACTTCATAATTAAAAATATTTATTTATATCCACATAATCAAATTTGAGAGTACAGTTATTTATATACATACCAATTCTACTTCGCAATAAATCTGTGACAAAAGAATGCAAGTCATACTGTGCATGAGTACCAAAAACAAAAATATATAATAGATTAACCTAAGCATTGAAGGAAATTCTTCTCCTCTTTTTCACTTTAATCTGTTCTTAGCAAAAAACGCTCATCTTAATTTTTTATCTCCTAGAAAATTTTCAAGAATTTATTGTTTGAAAAGTAATACTCGTACTCCAGGCTCTGATTATAAGTAAATATGATTCTTTCCCTGAAAACAAGAATTATAAAAGTTGTCTACAGGTTTTAAACTAATCTGATTCTAAGAACCACAAGTAGGTGCTAAATTTTCGTCAAGTATAGACTCAGGTGGGGTAAATGTAAAAGGAAAATCGAAGATGCTTTTTATTTCTCTGGTCTCTTTTTTATCATCAATTATTTAGAAATATTTTTTCTTGGAGAAATGTAGAACAAATTCTTTTCTATCGTTCAGTCAGAGGATTTCTGAAAAATATGACACCACGAGTTAGTGATGATAAATTTCCTGAGAGCCCCAACAGAATTATATATTTACCGCGTTTGAGATACAATTGTAATCTTGCTGATGTCAGGTAGGTAAATGTATAATCTCAGTCATATTATCCACTGTCAGTAAAACCCAAATATTTCCAAAATAGTAAAAAATTTATGAATAACTTTTTATGAAAAATATCCGCCCTAAAAAGTTCCACAAGGCTCAAGTATTTCGGGACACAATTTTTGATACTATGTAGATTTCATTTAGAAAGATGAATTAACGTAGAAAAAAAAGTCATGTTTAGGAAAGATCCTTGTTCAAAACTAGCAACATATTCTGAATCAGCATGAAATTCTGAATAAAATGATGCATTCATTCTGTTGGAAAACAACTTTCATTTTTTTGACATGTCTTTTGCGCCTGTGGGGAACTTCGGGATTGATAAAAATAATTCTCTTTCATTTTTCTACCCAATTTTACATCATTCGATGCAGAATTTCAGGCTGATTCAGAATGTGTTGCTAGTTTTGAATAATGATCTTTCCTAAACATCGCTTTTTTTCTACGTTAACTGATGTTTCTAAATGAAATATACATACTATCAAAAATTGTATCCTGAAATACTGGAGCCTTGTGGAACTTTTTAAAGCGTATGTTTGTCATAAAAATTTATTCATAAATTTTTTACCATTTTGAAAATATTTGGGTTTTACTGACAGTAGATAATATGACTGAGATTATACATTTACCCACCTGACATCAGCAAGATAACAATTGTATCTCAAACGCGGTAAATGTATAATTCTGTTGGGGCTCTCAGGAAATTTATCATCACTAAGTCATGGTGCCATATTTTTCAGAAATCTTTTGGCTCGTCGATAGAAAAGAATTTTTTCTATATTTCTAAATAATTGATGATAAAAAAGAGACCAGAGTAATAAAAAGCATCTTCGATTTTCCTTTTACATTTACCCCACCTGACTCCATACTCTTAGCGGATTGTATAAGAAGATATGTTGTGTAGTGACATCTAATATTTCATGATTTGTTTGGTTCTGAATTGTAACGTAGAGTAAACAGGTTAGTTCCCTTTTTTTCGCATCTCTTCGGTTTTAGTTAATGATGATAAAAAATTTATAAAATAATGTCTACTTGGGAAGAACATGTATTATCAAATTCGCCAACAAATGATAGAAATAATGGATCGAAATCGGATGAAACACCACGAGAAGGATTAGGAGAGATAAACCATACATCAGAACTGACAATTGATTTTGGTGTGTATATTTATTACAAATGAGAGCTTTTCAAGAAACTTTTTTAAACTATCAAAGAACGAAAAGAAAAAAAAATGGATACATTTTTTAAGCTCGACAATAGACAGTAAATGACATCGGGAATTTTATGATTTTCTTCTGCTAAATCTCATAATGAGTACGTTGAAAAATGAACCTTATTAACAAATTAATTATATAGAATTACACTATTATAGTTATGACTCTTGTTAGTTGTTAAAAGTACGAGGGACTAGAACTTGACGGACATGTTGTCAAGAGTAGATCGACATTTTCACAGATATCACATGAAAATCATACAAGGAGCGTCAGCTCACTCCAAATTCTCACACATCGAGACCTATAGTTACGACAAAATTAAATTGAGCGGTCGCGTCTGAATAGCTACATCTGAATGAACAGTACTGTTTCACAAGTGTAACTAGTTCACCAATAATCTCACGAGTATTTTCTAATGACGTACTATACAAGGTCAACGAGCAAACGGTTTAATTGGCTTGCTGATTTTCGATAGTTAGAATCGACCATTGTTTTAATGGTATCTATCTGATGTTTCAGTACATTCTAACTCCTACGTAATAATTTCCTATGTTATTTATTTTTAGGAAAACTCTATAATCAATCAGATTATAGTGACGTTGAATTAATAATTGAATCTGAACATTTTTTTGCTCATCGCACTATACTTGCTGCTCGTTCGGAATATTTTCGCGCATTACTCTACGGTGGTTTACGCGAATCTCAACATGATAATCATGCCATCGAAATAAAAGAATGTAAAGCAGCTGCATTTAAAATTCTTCTACGTTATATATACACTGGTCAGATTAACTTAGCCAAAGAAACTGTAAAATTCTCATCGAAGTCATTTGTTTGATAGAATAAACTATTTCATTTTTCAGGAAGATACACTACTTGATCTACTGGGTCTAGTACATCAATATGGGTTCGAACAGCTTGAAAGTAGCCTATCCATGTATATACAATCAATCTTATCATTAAACAATGTTTGCATTATCTATGATACTGCTTGTCTCTATGAATTAAATAATCTCCGAGAACATTGTGCTCTATTTATTGACAGTCATGCAAAGGAAGTAATCACAACAAATGAATTTTTAGCATTATCACCGGTAAGTTTTTATTGTATCAACAGACGATCTATTAAGATATGTATTGCGATTGTGAAATTACTTAAGTAAACATTTAGTAAACAAGTCTAAATAATGCAAAATGATTACATTGTATACAATAGATCAGGTTTATCAATCTGCGAATCGCTATAGCAACGTAAAGTTCACTTTGCCGCAATGCTTTTTTTTTAAAACTATGCGTCGCACATCACTTCCTTACAAAAGAATTCTTTTTTTGACTACATTGGACGTATATCTTCGTGCTGCAACACAAAGAAATTTGATGATTGACGTAGGCAAAAACTTGCTCTTGTTGTCTATTCATCTAAACATTGAATAACGTCTCAGCATTGTTTCATATTAATGTATATATGCAATCTTATTCATCTAATCACGTTTTAAATACTGAATCCTAAGCACCATAGAAATCCAATCTTCTGCCAGGTCTTTTGCTTGTTTACAGACTGAGAAAAATACATTAAATAAAATTTTGGTTATTTCAAAAACAAAAGCATCGCATGAATAAGATTGTGCTCGCAGATATGGCTTATATTTATCTATGTCTATGTCTAAAGACGCATCAGAATAGAAAAATAAAATGACAGAAGCTAGGCGTTAGGTTTCTTCCGCGATATCTTGACGAGCAATTGACACAAACGTGAATCAACGCAACTTAGTATATTCATGAAAATAAATTAATATCAAATGCTTTTCTTTTGTATTTGTCGACTTCAGCCTATTAGGAATATTCTTTCAAAGATATCCTATACAATCTGATTAGTCTCGCGCTAACTTTACATCGAAGACGCACAAATTTTACTTGAAGTCACGTACATTTCATATCACTGTAAGAAAGTATAATTCGTTCAAACCAATGAGATTTTCTTCTTTGCCGATAGAACCGCTATTCGATTGATTGATTGATTGATTGATTGATTGATTAATAAATAGAAGCGAGCCGAAAATAATTGTCTGCCACCATATTTTAAAAAGATACATTAAAGTATGTTGTTGTGATCACGCTAAATAATATATCTCTGCAATTCTACATAGTATTTTGTCATATTATTAAAAAAAACATGTGTCTGGTTTGTTCACAGTCAGCTTATGGAAGATTCTTTTTATGAATGCATATTTATATATTCTATTGCAAAATACAGGAACGAATGAAAACTAATGAATACTATAGATATGTATATGTTCTAAAAAGAAGAAATTATTAGCGCAATCCCTCTGGTATTCATATGTGAAACACGCTGTAGTCGCTGTTCCTAATCACATTTAGATTGCTTTATTCTATCTACGGAGGGACACATTTCTTCACCATGCTTTTACTTCATCGTTGAGAAATGAGAAATAAAGAAAATAGTTCATATATGCGAATAGACGGTTATTCATATAATTGTATATTATTGTGGGTTGCGAGCTCAAAGTTTTGCATCTCTGCTTCAACGCTCGTTGCGTTTTTATAAAGAGGATAGTATTATCTGGAGATAAAATAATACTCATTAAAACTGATGCTTTATCGTCGCCATCGAAAAATTGAGCATCGGCTGCTCGTAGAAGATGCGAAACAGCGATCTTTGACGTGAATGTTCCTAGAGAAGAATCTCTTGGCGTCACATAACCAAAAGAAAGATGATTAAATCTAGAACATTTGATTAATTGTCTGTATTGATCAATCTGATTTTTTGGAGAGGTTCGTGAATAGAATAAATATTCTTATAACATATTCACTTCCTTACTTTGAAATTTGTTGTTTTTCCTCCTCTTCTAGAATTACTATTTTGCAAAGTTTGCTTCCTTATATCTCTCGCATTACAAATGTGTCTTGCCGTTCTGGATGAAATAGTATGTCTGATGTCTATTACACCATAGCTAATTAATTGTCAAGATATCATTGAAATACATGACAAAAGATCAAGTCGATCTCCGATTCAATGCGAGCCTTTCAGTACCCGAGAAGGTGAACTAAGATCCGTTGTGTTCCTACTATAGAGTGCAATTAAGTGCAAAGTTCCGAGAGAAAAATACAATGATTTCAAGAGAAAAATAATTGTCCACTTATCATTACTAGCTAAACAAACAATTTTTGATGTAGAAACAAAAGTCATGTTTTCTGCTCGGCCAATAAATCATCAAAAGCTCTATGTCTGTTCTTTGTTCCAGATCTTATAAAATTAAATAGAAGTGTTAATATAGACATTTCGTTAATTGATTTATTCACAAAAGGAAACTAGAAAAATACTATTTGTAAGACAAATATTTGACTATATCGACAGACTATAAATGGCTTTTTCGATTATTTTTCAGTACTTCGGTTCTTGCTTTTTTTTCATGAACTTAAAAATTCTTTCCATTACGAAAATATTTCTCTTTTCCTCTGATATCGTTATTCTTGGAGTACTTTTGAAGACTACATATTTGTGAGTTCCAGGTAGCAAGCAAAAATTAAAAGAATTTCTGAACTATTGATTAACACTGTAATTATTGAAGTTTACAGGTCATTTTCCTATACCAACAAAGTTCACGATACAGAAAAAAAAACTAATAATATTTATTGGTCACATTTAATAAAATGAAATTTTACGATTAGACTAATTTGCTGTTGTGTAACTATAGGAAGCATTGTCGTCCGTTGTATCACGCGATTCATTTTTCTATCCGGAAATTGACATATTTTATGCTATTAAAAATTGGCATGATTATTATTATCTTAACCAAAAAGATCAATGGAAACCATTTGATAATATTGTATCAAAAGTACGGTTAACACTAATGTCAATGACTGAACTATTGAGCATTGTTCGTTATTCAAATTTATTTGATCTCAATCAGATATTAGATGCTATTGATATAATTCATACTGAAAGTAGTTCAGCAATGACTGTTAGTAATAGAACTAACTATAAAAACTATCGAGGACGACTAAGTAAGAGAAGAAAATAATCAAAAAGATGCAATTTTCTTATTATTCAATTTTTTTAGGATTGAATGAAAATTTAGCTACAAAAGCATATGATGCAGAAGTAATTGAAGGTGAACGATATTTTTAGAACTATTTTCTCAGTTGTGGTAAATCTGATTAAGGATTCATCGAAAAATTTCTTTTTTTCAGGCGAAGTAAAACAATATCTATTGGATGGTGAGGTTATCAATTATGATTTGGTTTGTTGTTTTTGTTCCGTGAATTTATAAAATTATCTATTTTAATCTTTAATATAGGATCGTGGTTATACAAGACATCTTATTGATGATGTTCATTATATTTGCGTGAAATTAGGTGAACCATCTATAATCAATCATATTAAATTACTTTTGTGGGATAAAGATACTCGGTAGGTTTGATGATCGAGTTTAGAATAATTCTTTTTCCAATGGTACATATTTTCTAGAACTTATTCTTATTATATTGAAGTATCAGTTGATAATAGAAATTGGACACGAATTATTGATTATCATCTATATTTATGTCGATCATGGCAAAAATTATATTTTACTCCAATTGTGGCAAGGTATGCTCAGACGAAAAGAAAAATTTTGATTAATTACTTCTGTGTTTTTGTAGTTTTATTCGCGTTGTTGGAACACAAATAATAGTATCAATAAAGTTTTTCATCTTGTTTCCATGGAAGTTTATTATAAAAGAAAATCATTTGCAATTGTTGGAGATATTCATGGTGAGATTTACAACACGAGAGAAAACAGAAACTTATTTTATGGATTCTTTTAGCTCCAATCGAAAATATCGCAACAATTGAAGAGGGTGCTATTGTATCTGAAGGTGTTAGTCGTGTTAGAAATGCACTGATTAATGGAGATTATCAGTCGTACGATTGGGATACGGGTTAGTTACGTTGAAAATAACTAAAAGGACCAACTTTTGTTTTTCTTTGTACTATATTAGGCTACACATGTCATCAAATTGGTTCAGGTGGCATTGTTATTCAATTAAGTCAACCTTATGTCGTTAGTTCAATGAGGTAAAAATAGAAGAAAAACAAAACTATATAGCTTACGATGGAACATTCTGAAGTAATTCGCACCGTTTGGTCTCACATTTTGCTCATAGGTAGGATCCAATGAGACTAGGAAAAGCCTAAAAAAATTCGCGCCCTTAGGACTTTCCTTCGAAGTTATGACCGTTTTACTGAATTTTCGACCTTGTTCAAGGGATTTATAGAAAAATTGAATAAAGGAACTCTGAGCTGAAATTTTGTCTAATAATAGGTCTCATTGGTGTTAGGAAATTGTAAAACTTTCAGTTCTTTGAGAGAAATTGCAAATTGAAGAAAAGTCAATTTTACGATAATTTTTGGACCATGGCTGTTTTCTTCAATCTGCAATCTCTCTCAAAGAAAACATCAGTTTTAACTGAAAGTTTTACAATTTCCTAACACCAATGAGACCTATTATTGGGAAAAATTTCTGCTCAGAGTTCCTTTATTCAATTTTCCTATAAATCCCTTGAACAAGGTCGAAAATTCAGTAAAACGGTCATAACTTCGAGGGAAAGTCCTAAGGGCACGAAATTTTTTAGGCTTTTCCTAGTCTCATTGGATCCTACCTATGAGCAAAATATAATATGAGACCAAACGGTGCGAATCACTTGGGAATGTTCTCTCGTTAGTTGCCAGCTAGTTTTATATATCGTGTGTGTGAGATAGTCTACCACAAAATAGAGCCTTCAGAACACAATTGAATAAGATAAAGGCGTATTTTCAGAAATCTCAATGCGTAGATGGTTGTGCTTTGATGTCAATACTTGAATTACCACATTGATATAATGATGAAATTAGCCAAAATCTAAAACATTTTGAAATCGAGTCATAATGATTTTATAAGTTTTCGACCTATCTGCAGGTTACATTTTTTGCACCGGAAATACATCAAAACGATTCTAATACCGAGATCGTCTTCAACATCCTATACGACACTCTCATATACTCATTTTTTCGGAATCAACTCTAATTATTTTACTATATTAGATTATTGTTATGGGATTGTGATAACCGTTCATATTCTTATTATATTGAAACATCACTTGATAATATAAAATGGTCAACATTTGTTGATAAACGCAACACAGCTTGCCGGTAAGAAAAAAATTTTCTTCTTCTTTTAATGCTTTCATCGAAATAGATCATGGCAAATATTAACGTTTTCGCCTCGTATCGTTGTATTCGTACGTATATGTGGTACACATAATACAGCGAATGAAGTATTTCATTGCGTTCATGTCGAATGTCCATGTCAACCTGATATACTTAAATTACATTTGAATGAACAACGATTGAATTCACCAGAAAGTTCTCAAGAAAAAAATGGTATAGCATGTGAAGAGTTTTATAATCATTTTGAATCATGGTCGAAAATCAATAAAAATTCGTTATTAGAAACGCATAAGATTTTACCATTTATGATCAAACCACATTATACAGAAATAATTCATAGCGAACAAGATGACGATGAACAAAATCAACATTGAAAATCGTTTCAACCTTTTTTTTATGTAATTTATATAAATGTTTTGTTTTCAAACTATTTATTTTCTTCTATACAAAAGTAATGATTTTTCTGAGCTTTTCTCAGATAGCAATTTCATAAATAAAACAGTTTACTACTTATTAGTAAAAATATTAAAAGTTTGAAAGAATTACATCATGGCTAACTGAACATACTTGCCAAATTGTGTCTTCTCTTTTTTTTATTACCGTTTCCATGTCTTTGTCATGACGAAGATCCGGACATTCTGATTATGATCTCCAACCAAATTTCGATGTTCGTAAAGAGAAAAATTTCCATGGAGTTCAGAATTGATTCCGTACACCATGTCTTTTCTTTAATGTCAGGAGATCGTAAAAAAAGAGGTGAGACGAAGTGTCATTTTGTCGGGGCTCTTATCCTTATTCATAGTGTTGGGATTTTTAAGTCATTCTCTGTTATAAGATGGACGGATTTTGAATTATGCGTGTGGGTGTGTGGGTAGCGTGGTCGTATGACGATGAGAAGATGCACACCCACATCCAAACAAGACGACGCCGTATCGAGCTGAAGCTTCGGCCACAAAATCTTGATTCAAAACGAGGCTCATAGCTTCCTTGACTTTTTCTCAAACACATGTTTTTGGATAGAACACAATCCACGTACATAGGCAAAATGGCGCTAAGTTATTTGAGTGCAGCGATGAAGCTATAGTGCATACTTCGTTTTTGGCTGAAGAAAAAGAGCTAGCAGTTGATTATTACATTTGTAAAAGGAATGATTTTTCTTTCATTTTGATTTCAAATGAAAGCGTTGCAAATTCGAAAACGAAATATTATTCTCATGAGTGACGCAGAGAGTTGCTCTCATTGTTGAAGAGCAAACACAAAAACGTTTCTTCCAGTTTGAGCCAGAGGGCACACACTTCAAACCGAATAAGAAATTTCCAGTTAGGAGTAGAGAATATTTCGCAATCTAGCTAAGCGTTATAAAAATGAGCGTAAAGATTCATCAGTTTTTCTTCTCATCCGGCCTTTGTTCCTTAGAAATATGGCGCACGCTGCTACTGGTGTCTCTCTCGATCCATGCCAAAACCGCATTCAATGGATGTGGAGATCAAACACAGACCCTTGGGTTTCTAAACAAACAATTCAGTGGACTTCGTATTCTGATGTGGAGACAGCTATAATCGAACAAGCGCGTCAGAGAAAGGCACCGGAGGCCCTTCTTGACAATTACCACATCAATTTCCAGCATCTCGTTCAAATATCAAACAACAATTGTCGCAAACAACGGCCTGTGAAACGAGTCGTTTATGGGAGAGAGAACGCACCGTTGAGAACAGATCGTTTTATGCCTAATCCTACGTCTCCCTCTCGGTCTTTCGTAGGGTGGGGCGACATACAGAACGACTTTCTGAATGCCGTTACGTCACATTTCAAGATTCGTTATCAATTACGTAATGCAGCTGCTCGTCGCCTGTGGGTCGAGAAAGCAGCCGAAGGACTAATCGTGGAGGGAAAAATAATAGGCAAACAGAAAGAGGCTGAATGGATGGCAGAGCAACTACTCCAGGTGAAAGAAGCAACGGGAAAGGAAATATGGGAAGTGTGCGCTCGTCTCTACACGATGGAGAGTTTCTTGTACAAGAAGATGAATGAAATTATGCGTTTAAGCGGCGAAAAAAAACATACTCATTTGCTGCAAAGCAAGGTACCTACATTCGGCCCGTTTGCTCTTCTTCTTCGTGGACTAACTCAGCACGCCAACAAGAAGATAACCGTCTATCGGGGTTCTGAACTAACGCGTGATATAATTGAACAATATACATATCTTGGCGGAGATCGTTTTTTTTCCAGCGTTCACCTCAACAAGCCGGTCTCGAATTAAAGCTGCAGAGTTTGGGAACGTGCTTTTTGAAATTCAAATTGCTGAGGTTGTCGATGTATCTCAGTGCTCTGCCTATCCGGACGAAGAGGAGGTGCTTCTTCCGCCTCATTTCATGTTCAATGTTCAATCATGTACCTTTGATGACATTCGGGGGAAGTGGATCATACGCCTTCGATCGTGCAATGTCCGCCTCTGTTAAGTTTTGTTGCAGAATGCCTTGCAAAGAGACACCATATCTTTAAAAAGAAATATCCTTCCCAGGACAATCATTCCAACCGTCGAAACGGGCATCTTAACAGGCCTGAAACGGCTATAAAATGGTATAATAAGTCATTAATTTTCATCATTCAGACTTGAGCTTTTTCACAAAAGATTCACTGAGCGATTCTGTACAAAAATATATATTCTGTTACAACAGCATAACTATGCCGGAACGATTAAGACCTACTAAAATCGATTGTTCTACCAAAATTTAGTCGCAGCTGCAGTAATTATAAATTATTGATTGAATAGATCGTTGAATTTTAATTCGATTGTGTTACAAAAAGAGATAGTTTGGTTCGAGAAATCGGATTTGCCCAGGCGTAATCAAAAATAATCAAGATTTTGCAAGGGATACTTTTCCTCAGTCATCAGTGAGGCCGTACTTGACAGTTTTTTTTTCTTTCTTCATAGTTACTTTTTTTCAATCATTGATTGTTATTACAATTTACGGATAATGAATATTTTTTAAGTGGCCGTATACTTTCTAACTTCTAGAATGTAAAATAGAAGAGATACAGATTTCTAAATGACAGCAGTAGTTCATTTTTTTTAATTTGATTTCTTCTCAATGCCAATCGACATATTGATGCGATTAATTCATTTTTATTTATTTATCTCAGCGCATTCATTCATGCGATACGACTGATCGAGAGTAGAGAGCGAAAAAATGTTTTCTTTGTTCGTTACCTGTGTGTTTTACATAAAAGGTAAGAAGAAAAAAAGAAAAAAAATTGTTGTATGCATTAACTTGCATAAATTATACTAATCGTATACACACATGTAGCGCGTCCCATCATTAAAATTGTTACCTATCATCAACAGAGTTATTTATCGACGTTCAAAGCTCGTCAAAGGCTTTTATTGCATTGAATATATTTCATATTCTCGATCAATTTCTAGTCGATCAGTAAATAATGGTGAAATTTACTACAGCAATTTTATCAAAATTTAATCGATTTAAACGCATAAAACTAAATGATACAAGAGAGCTTTACTCAACACACGGTAGAAGATCGAAGGTTTGTGGAGGTTTAACACAGTTTGGATTTGGTGTTTCTTCGTTTGGTACACTAGTGCACATTTCTGATACAACGTAAGTTTATTTAGATTATATGAACATAAAACTCTATACGTGAACTAAGTTATTCAGTCGTCAATAATTATTCACTGAATACTTTATTCAAATGTCTATTACTACCATCTGTCTTGCCATGATCAGAAGCAAACTACTAATCACTGTTTGTCTCAGATTTTCTGCCTAATAGGAGTCAATACAAAAAAGTTTCAATAATCGAGTGAAAAACGCTTGATGTCTAAGGTCATCATTCTATCATGATTTACAACCAGTACTACTTATAGTTGTACAGATAATATCAAATTCATTATATTGTTCTTGGGCTGCATTTGTACTCTGAAGACACTCAAATAGGCTTTTAATATATTTTTTATCATTTGATATTTTTAGAGCACCAATTAGTTTGAATGTTTTTACTTATGATGAAGACTCGTACACTGAAAAAAATTATACAAATGTCGAACATATTCCCATTGTAGCATCACCAACTATGACGTGTATGTATCCTACTAAGATAGAAGAAGAAAGGAAAAATATTGACAAAAGCTAGCGAATGAACGAAAAAAATATTGTACATAAAGACAAACACATAGTTAATAGATTATGTGTTTTTATTTTCTTAAGGGATAGACGTCGATGGTATTCATGACCAAGAGATAATATCGCAAATCGGTCAACGTTATGATATTCATTCATTAGTTCAATCAGATATAACAACGGCTGATCAACGAACAAAATTAGATGTTTGTGATGATGCATTATTTCTTGTATGCAGATTGATATATCATGATCTATATTGTACAGGAAAAACTATCGTTCAACAAATTAGTTTTTATCTGAAAGATGATGTTCTTATTACATTTCAAGAGTCATCAAAAGATTTATTTGATCAAATTAAAAGTAAAATATTTCAATGAGCGACTAAACCTATGAGTTTAGAGTCAGTTCTTAGAAAAAGTGCTTTTTTATTTGTTAGTTCGGTATGAAATCATGAGGAAACGGCTTCATTCCGAATTTCACTAGATAATCAATCACTTCGTACCTTGTAGGAAAAAAAAATTATTTCGAAAAGCTTCTGAAGTCTCATAAGTCCATCTACAACTAAATATTTCACTCTATTAAAATGGTTTAATATTCTTTTTGTTCTCTCTATTGAAGATCGTATTCGACAGGGGAAAGGTCGTACAAGAAAATGCAAAGTTGATTATCTGTTTTATTCGCTCATTGATGTTATTGTCGATCATTACATGGATGTACTCGATGTATTGGGCGTAAAAGTTGAAAATATTGATGATGAATTAATGAAAAATCTTAGACGTGATACATTAGAAACTATATATGATATGAAACGCGACATGTTATCATTGCGTTCAGTTATCTATCCATTAAAAGAAATCATTATTAAATTACAAAAAGATGAAGAAACAGGAATCATGCAAGAAAGTACGAATATTTACTTGAAAGATCTATTTGATCATGTTGTACAAGTTAATGACTCAATTGATACATATAGAGAAATGCTAGCGTCCTACGTTGATTTGTATATGATGTTAAATTCCAACGGGATGAATGAAATCGTGAAAATATTAACAATTATATCAACAATTTTTATTCCATTAACATTTATTACCGGACTTTATGGGATGGTAAATATATATATATATATTGATAGTTGATTTTCAATTAATATTCAATGTATTTTTGCTTATTTTAGAATTTTCAAAATATGCCTGAACTTCGATATAAATATGGTTATTATATTGTGCTTTCTGTAATGGCTGCATTGGCTACTTTTATGCTTTCATGTTTTAAACGTAAAAAATGGCTTTAAAAATCTCTTTGTATTTTTTTACTATTGTACTTCTTTTTAATTCTTAAACATACGAAGAAAATAAATACTTCACGACATGTGACGATGACGTATAAAAATCTCAAGGATACATTACGCATGACTACTTTGAATAATATTACAGTGTCTTGGTACTTTTTTCGACCGAAGCGAGACTCCAGTACTCGGAAGTATTGTACATCAGGCCTAGTTCAATGTAGTTCACACGAGTCTACGTTGATTATATTTGACAGTTTGATATTCGAAGATTTATCTACGAAAGAATATGTGACGAGAGATGATTGTTGTCTTTTATCATGCCGTCGAGTAAGAAAGTGGGTTTTTTAAGTTACGGACAATATAACGGAAGCCTAGTGCCGATAAAAGAATGGCAATCAGTATTCAGACGGCTAATTATCGATTATAGTTTACATTGTACTCTGTGTTTCTTGTTTTAGGATTGATAAAATCGACTGAAAATTTTCAAATAAAACGAATGCTTCAAATATTACATTTCAAAAACACATTATTTGTTTGCCACAGATATTTAACGAAGTTTAAGTTTATTTAGAAATGCTATATGTCGATAGAAGAACATTCTTTTAGATAAATATAAATCAACATACGACCTTTTGATTTTCCAATAAACATTTAAAACTCTTAGGAAAATTTCGTAGAATCGACATATGAAGAAACAGAAATAACTTGTTATATAATATTCTGGCATTAGATATTTCATTAATACGATCATGATCATGAGTTAGTTCTATTTTCTCGTGAAAGAAAAATAAAATATATTCATTTAAAATATTAAAAATTAACGTCAAAACGAGTAAATTTCGTATTTCCTTTTCCTGCTGTAACATCTTTATTTTCCGCTTCAGGATATTCAGTCATTCGATTTGCTGATTGTACCGGTTTTACTGGTCGATTATTAAAATCATTATTCGTATTAGTATTAACGGGTTCTTGATCTTGAAAACGACTATTCTGTTGTTGCATTCGTTTTTGAGCTTTGACTTCTTCTGGAGATGGATAATTATAATGGCCATAGGTTTGTGCAAATGGATTATCGGGACTCATATTTAATGATGTTTTATCTAAAGGAGCAGAAGAATTTGGTTTTTCAGCTGTTCGTCGCATTGAAACTGGTTGTGGTGGTGGTGAGGGCGGCTTTATTGATCGGGCAGGTGATGGTTGACGTTGATTATAAGAATTTTGAATTGGATTTTGTACTTCGATAGGTCGATATGATAGTGGAGCTGGATTGTTATTATTTCTATTCCAGTCAACATTCGATGGTGGATATGAATTGGATTCGGCATTACTATTTCCATAGTTTTGATATGCTGGTGGTGGCCGATAATTACTAAATGGATTCTGCTCGGACATTTCATTAGTTTGCATTAATGAACCAGAAGATTTTGGCATTTCTGTAATTCTTTTTGATGGATCAATTTGTGATGGGTAATGATAACGTCCGTATGTTGAAAAAAATGGACTTTCATCGGATAAATTTAATGATTTATTATCTGTGGAACGCACTGCTACTTGTTGAGTTGTAATTCTTTTTGATGGATCAATCTGTGATGGGTAATGATAACGTCCATATGTTGAAAAAAATGGACTTTCATCAGAAAGATTCAATGTTTTATTTGACCCAGGATCATTTTTTGGTGGAGCTGCCATCGATGTTATTCTACGTGGTGAATTGCTCTGTTCGTAGGGACGAGTTGGACCATTAAATGGATTCTCATTCGACATAACATTTGTTTTTTCAATAGAACCACCACCTCCAGTCGGACGCATGCCGCTATTTCGATTATAGTTATTTGCTGGTGGATAGTTGTTGGTGGGAGGATAACTATTTTCTGGTGAATAGCTGTTCGTTGGCTGATAATTATTTACTGGTGGATAGTTATTTACTGGTGGATAGTTATTTACTGGTGGATAGTTATTTCCTGGTGGATAATTGTTCATTGGTGGATAACTATTGACTGGTGGATAGTTGTTTGTTGGTGGATAACGATTTGAATTCGGTGGAACATAGGATGCTGTTTGTTGCCCATAGTTAGGTTTATCATTTATATATGTTACGGTGGATGGTGCTTGTTGATTATTTGTGTAATAAGGGTAAGGTTGAGCAGACGGGCGCGATTGGTCATAGGGTGAAGCATAATTATCTCTTGGATTTGATGGAGAATCGAGAACATAATGTCGAGTTGTGTAAATAGGTGGCGATTGATTTGAATACATATTTCCGATGTTAAACTTTTTCTGTTGGCTTGTACAAGTTTTTAGCCGGAGAATTATTTTATAGAAGCCATGAAAGAAAGAAAAATGTCATCAGCATAAACAATAAAAAATACTAAATAAATATAGACTCTCATTGCTTCACCGGTTGCTATGACGTTTCTCCTTTCCAAATACAACCGACGTCATTCTTCTTTTATTTTTTTATTCTTTTGTCAATCATACTTTGATAAAATACGTTTCTTCGTCTTAGTTGCTTTCACCGATAGTAAAGAGAAAAAAAACAGAAGGCGGATTTCATTGCCAGAGTATGTTATATGCAATAGCAAACAAAAATAACATTCATCATTATGCAACTCTTAAAGCTAACTAATGCTTGAAGACGCATACTAGACTTCATATTGATTCAATCTAAATCGTTTTAGACTTTCAGAAGTAGTAGAATTTGACGTCTTTTCATCGAAGATTGCCTTCAGAAATCAAGTACTAATAGCTTCCGTTTCTAGATTTTTAAGAGGCTTTCGAACGAATATTACATTTACAGAACTTCTTTAGTTTAAATAACAGTAGGCTGAAACCTGTGAAACAAGAATTCACTACTAGGAAAAATAATTGATTCAGTAGCTAATAGAGTACAATTTCGTACGTAGATCTCCTTAGTTTCAAGGGCAATCAGTACGATGTTCTAGGAAAGATATGAAATGTACTTGATTAATGTCATAGTATACATTTTTGATACTCTAGTGTAAATATGTCTGATTATTATCATCATAAAAAATTTAGAAGTTCAAATAAAAGTTGCATCTAGTAATTTTTTGTCACTTGAAAATAATATTTATCTTCCGACTTTTAATAACAATGATGTCAATTTCCAAAAATAGTCAAGCACCACTCTTACTGAACAAATATAAATCAATAGTATTTACGCTTATTTTAATTGAATAAACAATATAGCGGCTAATGAACGTCCCTCGATCGATGAACCGTTTGTGAGTCAAGACTATTTGCGCTATTTACACTCAAATGAACTATAAATAACCTCGTCAGGATTCATGTTATTAACTCGTTGTGGCGGAAGTGCTGTACGTTTCACAATTGAAAAGTTCAATGTATCTGGTAGAAAAAAGTAATTTCCGAATTTGAAAATCAAAATTTTGTACAAAAATAAATCCACATGAAAACTATATGAATTGAAATTTGCAGGTCTTTTGATTTGCTAATATATTGAAATAAGTAAATTGAATCTGTTGGTTAATATAGACACTTGAAGAGATATCCCATTATTGAGTTTATTTTTCTGGTTTACTGGATGGAAAATCGAGCATTCCTTTAGAAAATACTCTAAGTACAATATCGATCAACCCGATATCAGGGTATTGATAGTGCATTTACAAGAGATTTATCACTATAAAAAATCGTCTTATGCGATAAAATACCGTAAGTATTTTGCTGCTTGACTTCAAGGCTTATAGACAAATCTATGTATTTTTCTGCATTTAATTCTTAATCTCATGGTTTGTTTGATACATGCTATTTTATCAACAGCTGATTCATTTGGTACATAAAATACAATATCAACTCAGTAAAAAAAATGCACTATGCGCAGCTAGAGTTTGTTTTATTTATTTCGTTAATGCATGACATGAAAATAAATTTAAACGTCAATTTTGGAATTCTTCATTTTTCGCAAAGAGCAGTGTTTTGAATTTGAATAGTGTTTTAAATGTTGAAATTCTTCGTCATAATTTGAATAATGTTTACAAGAACGATGCAATTTGGATTGTAAATTACACGGTGACTTAGCTGATGATGTTGTGCTATTAGATAATGCTCGTTGTGTTGTCGTACTACCATTTTGATTATTGAATTTCTCTTGTAAAAATGAACGTATTCGTCGATAAAATGTTGTTTTAAGTGTATCCAAAAATTTTTGATTAAATGCACAATAGAAAAAGAAATTTATTGAATAATTTAATAGTAACATTATGTTTGTTATTAATTTTTGAATACGAAAACCTGTATGCATATAATTTGGATATCTATGGCGTGTTATTCGTCCGACAAAATCCGGATAGGATATTATCGTAAATGTATTGCATACGAGAAAAACAACAACAACTGCAACAAGCGTTTTTGTTAGACGATGTTCATCACGTAAGCGTTTTTGTTTTATGGGTTGCATTGGAAGTGCTGATGTTGAACTCTTTTGAATGTATTGACGAGCAACGAGCTCACCTATTGTATAACGATTCGAGTGTCGGACCCGTTTGATTAATTTTAAATTCAGAAAAAGTAAAATTATAAAGGGCAAAATTTGATTAAAAACAAACATCATTATATAATATGCTGTTCTATATGGTAGATATTGTTTTCTCGGATATCCAACAACACAAAAACATTGACCAATATGCGTCGAATCTGTTGATGAACCTTGAATAAGAAATGGTTGTGTTGAACATTTCGATGAATTAAATGAATTTATAGGTTCGATAAGATGTTTAACATTTTCCATAAGAAATCGAGGAAAACTCAGTAAAGCGCAAATAAATAATATAATCGCTATTGTAATACGTGCGTAACGTGCTTTGCAAAATGTTCGCGTACGTAATGGATAAGTTGTAAATAGATGACGTTCAATTGTTAATGCTAATGTTATCATAATGCTTACTTGACCAAAATAGTTTGCCAATGGCATATAAAGTTGTGATTCAAATCGTGTCAATGCATAGAACACATTTTCATGACGTATATAATCGCCACGAACAATTGAAAATGGTGATATTGATATTAATGTAAGCATATCTGCTACAGCTAAGCCAGTTAAATAGGTGTAGGGCGATTCTTTAAGACGACGTTGAACAAGAACAGATAAATTAAGTAAGTTACATACAACGCCAAATATACATATCGTTAAAATCACATAACGATAACCAGCTACTTCAATATCATGTATTGTATCGGAATAAATTGATCCATTACGATTCGATAAGCATGGATATCTACTCATGATGATGTGTTTTGTTTTATATAAATTAATTTTACATATCTAAATAATGCAAAAGAAATAATTTAGATTTTTTTTCTTTTTGTACTAGCTCCTCTCAGGCGGTTATATTATAATAAATTATGGTTTTATTTATACTTTGACTATTTCCTTCTAAAACACCTTCTTACGATATAAATAAAATGTCGTGACCTTTCGCTCGACACATTTGATCTGAGCTGTAAAACTGAAAACAAATGTACGCAAGGCCTACATGTTTCGCTAGTGTGTTATGCTATCATGTTAAACTCGAGTGAATAGAAAAATTAATTAAGGCCTATAAAAAATTTTAATTTAATACAAGTAATAATATTTTCATTTGCAATTAATTCATAAAGGGACAGTAAGGTTTATTTTCTTATCGGTTGACTATTGTACTCCTTTATTGAAGAAAATGCTCCACTAGGGGCGTAACCAGGGGGGGTCTAGGGGACTCAGTCCCTCCCCCCTAGAAAAAATAAAATCCTGTAGAAAAATAAGTTTAGTCCCCTCGCTACAATTTTTTTCTGGTGACACACCTAATAAATGGGTAGATAGATAAATAGGTAGATGGATAGATAAAACCTGTGATCACGTAACACCTGCAAGAGATCAACATGTTCAAAGAGACANTTTCTCAATGAAACCACTAAACACTTCAGCATACTGACATATTCTAAACAAAAAGTATTTTATACGTTCTCTCTAGTAATATTTCCTATTGATAGATCCAATAAATTTCAAACCGTAAAAAGGTTTTATTATCTTATTTTTGAACAAAATATGATCTCACTACACTGAAAAAATAAAAATTCTATTTGATCAGTATCTAACTGACCGAAATATGTGAGTTCCACATTTTAGCCCCAACGGAGCTGCGCTGAAAAGCTTTTTGCGCAAAGGCGAAGCATAACACAATCATATATACGAAAAATCTATTGATTTGCATAAGTGATTAGTGCGTAAAACAGGAAAGAAATTTGTATTCTTGGACAAATAGAAGATACAATATGCTAATACGTAGGGAATATCAAAAGTAATGAGTGACACTTTTTTACTCTAAAGTAGACTTCAAAAATTTTTGTTTCCATACCGCCTGATAGAGAAAAAGAAGCTCTATCTTTCTGTGCTATTTGATCATACTTCAACTAATATCATAATATTAAATTATCTATAAAACCTATTTCGGCTGGTCATGTACTAGTTGTACTAGGGAGTATTTTTGTTTTGAAGAACTCTTGATAGAAAGAAGATAGAAAACGGCGGTTTTCACCATTGGAAAGAAGAGATGAAGATGCATCCAATGATGCATTATAGGGCTTTATAATATGGCTTTCATAAGCTGTTCAATTGGCCTTTTTCATACCAACCTATCTAGTAAGTTATTTGCAATATAAACTTTCAATTATCAAGTACAACTTCAGATCACTAACTGAAGATCTACAAAGCGTGATTGACTCAAATGAATAATATGTGTTTTAGTCGAGCTTCTAATACGATTTTCTAGCGAAATATATGAAAAAATCACTATGGTGTGGTTTTGATAAGAAAAATGATTTTTCCGACCGATACAAAATCGAATAAAACAAATTCGAGAAGTCATATTAGAAAACGTTGGGATATCTGATTCGATGCGTCTCCGTCTGTTCTTTCTATTGGTGAAAATCGAAGTTCTCGATCTTGTTTCTATAAAAAGTTGTTCAAAAAATACTCATCAGTATTTATATAACAAGAACGTAAACAAACGAAACAGATCTTGTCGAAAAATTATTATCATTATATTAGTTGAAGTATGATCAAATAGCATAGAAAGATAGAGCTTCGGGTTCTATATCAGACGGTATAGAAACAAAATTCCTTGAGGCCTATTTTAGAGTGAAATAGTGTCACTCTCACTACTTTTAGTATTCCCTAAGTAGATAGCGTATTTTTCTTCTTCTTCTTTCTTTTCTTGCGCTTACCTTTTAAGTAAACAAAGAATAGAAAACTGCAAAGGTTTTATTACTAAGTAAGGAGAAAAAAGAGAACTACTCTTCTTCCGATTATGATGATGACGATCAATGAAATGAGACAATGCTTGAATTTGGCATTTCTATTAAAATAAGGGTCAAGCGAAAAAATAAATTATGCACGTTTTGTATCATATTATAAGCAAAAACAAAATAAAAAATATGTTACTTTAACTAATGAGAATATGAATGAGTGCTTCTAATTTTTGAGACTTTGCTTCCGAATAGAAATTTTCTGTTACTTGTTGTCATATATTTATCATACAGAAAGATAGATAATGTTTGATTCGCTATATATATATATGTGTGTGCGTTCTATGGACAAACAGATAAAGAATGATTTCGCTATTACTACCACAAATGCATTTTGTATTTTATGCGTCGTTTTTATTAGTAGTACTTTTTTCTTTATACAAAACGAAGTAATAAAATGTCGTTTTTTTTATAAAAGAAAATAGAGATATGAATATTCTTCCTTAGGGAAAGTTTTCATCTCTCAATTAGTATCGCTCTTTTTATGTCTAAATGTCACTTGATTTCAATTCCTAGTTGTTCGTCTGTCCTTCGACCTGTATCTTACAATAAAGTTCATCGATCCAAATGAAGTATTTAATCGATCAGCTCATTGTTCAATGTGATAACAAAAAGCGGTCTACTTAGATAAATATAATTAATCGGCGAATCTTTTCTTTATGAATGCTACCGATCCTTAGTTAGGTTCGACTACCATCAAAATAGTGCAGACACGTGTCGATACTAAATAACTTAATAGACGCACTGGCCGATTTATTACTGCTCCGAGTATCATATTGACTACTGTATTCCAAAGAAGAAGAAAAAACAATCAGATAATACAAATCTTACCCAAACGATAACTATCCGTGATTTGTCTCTATGTCATTTATTATGTCGCTCTAAACTCTTTGGGTGTGTAACGCATTTACTTTCCACTCATCAATTATAAGTCTATTGATAGAATGCACGTTCTAGTAGCTAGGATCAATTTAGCTGTTCACAAGGTGTATAACGTATTAACATTTGAAAAAAAGGAAGTATACAAAAAGTAGAGCATTTTTTTCTTTTATCTACGATCAACATTATAAAAAGCAGGTTCTTCTAATAATAGGAATTAAATAAATATCCTTGCCTAGTGGAGTGTTGTTTCATCGTTTTATCATATGCCGATTATTTGTCATTTGAGAAGTCCCAAGAATAAATGTGAGAGAGTATAATGATTTCCTACAGTTAAATGATGTATTGAGATAGGAAAATATAATATAATATGATATGATATCTATTACTTTTGTGTTGTTTATCAGAAATATTTATTGGAAACTTTCATCATATAAAAGATAATCTGTTCGAAATTTCATTCTTTCACTGGACCAGTCTTACCTAGTTGAACAAAGAAGACTTGATAAGATTAATTATATTTCTAGTGTGAAGCGAGAGAAAAAAAATCTTATGCAATAAGATAATACTTAAATGATATCCAAGGTTATGCCAAGCGAAAGACACAGTGAAAAAATAATATTGACTTAACATTCTTTTTTGGACTATTGACTGGGAGACGTGTATTGAGCTATAGAAAGAAAATCGTTATAACCTTGCGATGGATCTGGATCGCATATTTCATAATCTTAAGTAGACCATCAGATAGAGATCTGATGCATAATTAATTGAATAATATTATAATTTTATCTTAATCTCTATCTGATTAGGAATCACGAGAACACGATCAGAGATGATCCCATTATAAGAAACGATAGAGCTCACTGAACAAACACTTGTACCAAAAGAAAAGTCAATAATGTCATGATTACAAAATCTGCGTCGAAATATTTCTATATGAACACTGATTATTGAAATTAGCCGAGGAGTAGATGGTTTTTATGCGAATCTCGGAACCCTAGACGAGTAAAATGGCCTAGTTGTCATTATTTTATACTATAGAGTTTTGACTGTATCGATCAAAACCTGCCATTCGACTATTTATTACTTGCAAACAACTGTGCATTCTCTGTAGACGGAAAATTTCTGTCTGTTATATGATCAATTAGAAGCAATTTTAGTCAACACTACACTAAACTTTTGACGTGACCCATACCGGAAATATTCATTCTATAAGCACAAAAAGATAGCTTTTTATCTCACCTATTGTTAACTTCCGTGTCTAATATACAATTTAAGAAGAAAAGAAAATTCAATATTTCGCATGGAAAAATAGTCCTATTTATTTCCTATGTAGAAGTGAATCGCAAAATTACTTTCGGGTATCATCTTATTAAAATTTTCAAAGAGGTACGGTGCCGGAAATACTAAACTTGAAGTATCGTTTTTTTGCGGCAGACCCTTATATGATCGAACAGAATGCATGGGATTACGTAGAATTTCTTGATAGCTCTTGAAAATGATTGTATCTAAAAGCAGTATTTTCAAAAAGTTGGAAATTCAAACTAGTATTTCTCCGTTTCTTTTTGTAAAAGGAATACATTGAGATTTATATTATATTATTTTATTTTGCTTCTCTAACAGCTGTAAGCATTCTATTCTAGTTCATGGCTTCACATTAAATATGAAATCGGATACTACCATCCGTTTTTATAAGCAATTTGAAAAGATAAATCATAAAAGAATACTTTTATATATTAGAAAAAAAACTAAAAATAGATAATCGCTCTTTCTAAATTATTCGATCTGCTGGATCCAATTATAAATTGCTAAAGTTCCACTGCATGACCCGTCTCAAAGAACGAATGAAATTCCACTTATAGGCGAATCTGTGATTGATATATACACCGGAGACGATTAACAGTATTTTGTTTTCATACAGAAGATTCAATCAATCTGTCAGCCAGTTGCAAACTTCCGGAATAACTCTAATGAACATTGTTCTTTCAACCGACTTTAGAATAAAAGTTAGAACAAAAAACTTGTTCTCAAGTCAAATACACAACAGTTTATAGAAATGGAACA